GATGCGAATTACCACGGGGAACTCGGTGCTTTTTCGATGATCATTAAAGATTTGGTCGTAGCGTTGCATTGTTCTCTGTGCTCCTTTTTCAAAGCAAAGCATTTCTTAGTTCGTACTGGTGGGGTCAGTTTTTCTTTCGGTATCAACGGTAGTTTTCAACGAGAATTTCGTGTATTTAACCAGCATGATAAAGTTGCAGCGCTCCCATCGAGATTCATTCGCGCTTTTCACAGTCTCCTTTTCTGTTAATGATAAATTTTGCCCTAATTCTGGTCATTTTCAGACGGCTTGGCTAGATACGCTTGATATAAAGGACATTATGGTGAATGGTATAAAGGAGTGGAAACAAGTGAAACTGAAGGACACCGCACAGGAGTCAACAGTGGAATCGGAAATTGCTGAGGGTGAAGATTCTCGTAAAGTTGGAAGCCAAATAGCCTGATGAACTTTTTAATTGTGAATCTAGTCTATTTAATTTCAAGTTGTTACGTTTTGTTAAAGTTTATTCTATTTCTAAGCACCTTGGACCTGATAAAACTTCACCGGTGCTACCACTGACATTGTTTAGGTTAGGATACTTTACCTTAACGTTTTAGCGGTACTGACGTAATCAGGCTTACTCATTGAAGTGCATTTGTTGTGATTTCTTCTTTTAATTTCATGAGAGAATAGGAATACGCAAATAAAGATAATACGAATGAGTATGTTGCAGTAGAATATTGAACATGTACAAGGCGCTCTCGCTCTATTACCTTTGAAGGAGGCAAGATCGAGACTCATGGGCAATGCATGGGAAAAAAATTTCTCATTGATCAGGGAATTTAACCTGTTCCAACTAATGAGACGATTGCCAAAGTAAGCTTATTGCTAGTGAGGATCTCTAAGTTTATCACAATTTTTATTTTATTTTCACGTACGACTCTGAATTACATTTGACCTGCTGATACTGTAGCTACTTCCTATGGGTGTATTCATGACGTTGTTAAACAACCTTCATTTAGTGCGCATTCATAGTCGGTCGTACGATCGTGACGATCGCACAACAATGGATGCATATTGATCGTCAGACGTGTCCAAGGATTGGATAATTGATCGCATCCAGTGCTCCGCGATCGTTACGGTCGAACGACCCACTATGAATGAGGCCTTACTGCCATTTCGCGAGATCGCCATCTTCAAGGGCTGAAGGGATTGAAGCACTTCACTGTCTGATTGAACGTCTGTGCAATTCCACTGAATTCCGAGATCAAATTTAAATTGCTTAGAGTAGCAAGTCTAATTCGGTCCCACTTGCCGTCAAGAGCAGTCGGATATTTCCATATCCTATAGAGATTGCTTCTAATTTCAGGCTATGGCCGAACTTCCTGACTTAGGGGAGAGGTGCTTTTTTGAAAGCTGCAATAGGCTAGGTAGGCGCTTTCCTTTTCATTTTGCATTCTTTGCAAGTTTCTACTGTTTCAGATTTTCTTCCGTTTACTTGTCCAGTTTGCAAAGAATGTTACTGGTTAGTTTGCATGCGTATTTTCATGTTCCTTAGATTACTTAGGCGCATTTTAGCGGTATATTTGAGTTAGGAGGGAGTGAGCATATGCAGAAAATTTAACATGTTGACGACTTTGCATCGTCAAAGGTGCACTTTCGGTCTTATGCTTTATTACCACGTAAGGCGTTACACCGTCGTCGTTTAGATGAGTAGCGGAAAATTTCCCTTGGGTAGCTTCATTGCTCAATGAACCTGTCCTGTGCTCACCAAATTGATTGTAACGGGTAAGGACTGATTCTTGGCAGTTCAGCCGGTCCTATACTGCGGTTAGCAAATGGAAGATGTGAAACCAATGGTATATGGATGCGTACAACTTCGAGGCGACATCGCATCTCAATCATGATCATGCAAAATGCAAGAGTAGAGTAACCTAGTGCTACGAAATGTCATTTTATTGACCTCTTCATTTATTTATTTATTTACTTTTTTATTTATTTGTTCGTTTGTATCTTCATCCAATACGTTGTGTAAGATAACATTAGAAAAAGGAATCTAAACGTATCTACAAAAGGTTGCGACCTCCTAGGTTATAGCAGTAAAAAAAAACCGTTTTCCATCCGCTGATTTCCAAATTAATCCAATTCTTCTAGCTCCGATCATCGTTTCACTCATGGGTGTGACAGCTCGAAGCAATTTGACCCGAACACAGCCGTTCCCTCTTCATCCGGACCAGTCCGTAACTTCCTATGTTCTTACAACGAATGTTAACTCTCGTCAACAGAAACAGAAATAACGAAGTTGCTATCCTTTGTGGGTAAATCTTCACACCTCACCCATCGTCCACATTTGGTCCCAAAGAAAAAAAGAAGAAAGTCGTGGCAAGGGATAGGGTTACATTAGATATGTGCCCTAATCTATGCCATGAGTCTGCGCGCTAAAATTCGTAGAAAGGATAGCCTAAGTGCGCACCGCTGAATTAAGAGCTCTCGTCTGAGTTCTCACTTTCTCACCTTCTTTCCCTCTCTTGCCTAACAATCAGCACCAATCTCGTACAGCTGACAGGGTAAGTAGGTTGTTGAAAGTGAAGCAGTTCGCTTTTGTATTTAGGCGGCGCGGTGGTCCCTATTCCTAGGCAAAAGATGCACAGAAAGAAAAAAAGCAGAAACAGAACGATCTGCACGGATAGAACGGCCCGTATAGCCGGTGACTTCTGACGCGCAGACTTACGGCGTATGTTTCTGGTATATACCACCGTACCTTGTGTTTGCTTCAATTTTTCATGTACTAAATTTACAAAATGGACTTTTAGTCAGCTATGGGGACGACAGTGAGGAGCTACAACTCGTCCACATCACATTTGTACATTTGAAATGTACCTATTTAGAGTAACTCTGAAGTAGTGTGGGGCAGGTTAGTGTAGTGAGAAAGAACAAGAGTGAAATTCTTAAAGGCACCCATGTCAAAAAGAATACAAGTATTACACAAGTTGAACAATTATGGTGTCCATGTCACTCAGATGATCCGACACCGAGTCCGCGTAATCCAACGCCTTTGCTGATCCCGTGGTGAACATATGAAGTGTCTAGAATACCAGGAATTGTACTATGTGCGTAACAATAATCCATTTGACTCCATTTTATGGTACTGGTAAAAGTAACGCTTTGGGGATCCAGCTCACGGCTGCCAGTTGCCCCTAGTTCAGCCTACTTAACATTACGGTACATGAAAACATCTCATCCCTGAGACCCTCGGGAGACGGTCAAGGGTCCCCCGCGACCGCCGCGCCAAAACTAGGTCACCGCGCGCGACGTCGCCGGTGTTTCTGCAATTTGCCGAGTTCAGGACCCCTCTCCAGACGATCGATACAACGCTTTCCTGTTCCCTCTGTGTAGGCCCCATTCCTGCATTTGTTTCAGCTTAGTCCTAGCAACTTGATACGTTTCAAGCTGGATATGGTAGATAGCCGCCGCGTGCGGTGACCTACTTTCGCTTGCGCGGCGACCTCAGGGGGACTCTTGTCTCGCATCCGAGACCCTCGGTAAAGGTTACAGTACCTATAGACCATAGGGCCAAAAATCTGTGATCAACAAGGGAGTTCGTGAAGCCTTTATCGTCGTTCAAAAGCAAACACGATTTTGAATTCGAGTAAAATGTGCGCAATCATCAGAATCAACGCCGAATGCCTCAACTATTAGTGAAGTTAATAAGGAATCTTCCACGGAAAAAGCTCCGCCCTCATTACCACAGAAAACGATACCTTAAAGGAATCTTCCACGGAAAGAGTGATCATTTTGTCTTGTGTGTAGGATTAGTATTATCGAAACTAACGCTTATGTTCCGTTCTTTTTGCTATGCTCATGAGGCTAGGGGCCTAAGGTATCGTAATGGAGGCGGAGCTTTTTCCGCGGATCCTTTAAACAGAGAAATCGGCAACTGCTTCGTAGTATGAACCTCCCGTTGCTCACGCATATTTGTCGCTATCTGTCCGCATGAAGTCTGGGTCGTGATCCCAGGCCCATATAAGACAAGTAATAAACACGAAACGGCATTTCGTCTAGCTGTACCCAATCCGATACGGTAGTCTGGTCAAAGCAAACCTACCATTTCGACACACTCCGAAAGCCACAGTATCTCTCACCTTATTTTCATCCAGAGATAACAGCCTTGCAATATTTGATGCGCATCGCCCTACTGTCCACTTCTAAAATAAGCATGTTGTATCACAAAAATCAAAAAATGCACAGAAGGTTAGAATTTGCGATGGGTAGACAGGCTTTCGCGCTTCTTTCGACTTGACTTTCCACTCTTCTACCTAATTATGGCATCCAGCGTATTACTTGAATATTTGATCGCCAAACCTCCAACAACCGGCATTTGTGAGTGCGATCGGGTAGTAAGGACTCAATTAGGTTCCACACGCACACACACCCAACTGAGCTAGTTGCGCAGCAGTAATGAGCTCTCACCACGTTGAATGTATTAATTTGTAATAAACGCACCGGCATTTGCTCTTGAAATTGCCACTGACACTATTTTGATATTCCAAGTAATGCCTCCCCATTAGCCTGCCCATACAATGCCGTGAGACAATCACACCATTAGCCGCACTTCTTTTTTTGAATACAGAGAGTCGTATTAGACGTGTGAAATTCACTTGGCTCCAAAATATTGCAGCTCTTGTTGATTGTAACGACAGAGGATGAAGTGGGTTGCTTTTAGAAGGCAAAAGAGAATCAATTCAGATGGAGGAAAGGGAAAAAGCAATTATTGGTCCTCATTACAGACATCTTGCCATTAGCTCTGTAGACTGTACCAAGCTATTGAAGTGAAGGTAGGAGGCGTCCATACACCGCAGAAGTGGGTTAAAGGAATCTTCCACGGACCATGGACCAGTGGGCGGGACCGGAAGTTTTTGTGACGAAATGCATGGTAGGTACGGATCCACGTGTCGAACGCACGAACGTGAACAGGATTCACTTCAAACCTTCCCATGAACGTGGATCCGTACCTACCATGCATTTCGTCGCAAAACCACTTCCGGTCCCGCCCACTGGTCCATGGTCCGTGGAAGATTCCTTTAACTAACGACGTTACGCGATCCCCGAAATGCTGGCGAGTTCCCTTTCCTTGACAGCCACATTCAGTGTGTATTGTTCCATACTATCGTCCCTAATCAGGACAAACTTTTTGTTAGCGTCACAGCACCTAGGCGGTACACTTGTCTAAAGTATACGGGCATACTTAAGGTCAAGGTTTTGAGGTTTTTGATGGATTATTCAGGTTTCTTGAAAGGTTTGTCTTATGCCCCACCATTCGGCACCTCCACTTCACACTTTTGATTACCACCAAGTTATCGTGACCGTTCCCTTCAAACGTCGCCGTTGCGTTGGCACTGTGCTCAAGACAGTCAAAAGCAAGTATTAGGTGTAAGGAAAGTTCTGGCCGTTTTCAACAGTTCATGTTTCATGGCATCATCTCTGGCTAAATTTTCGGCAGACTGCTACGAGTTGCATATCGCTAGAAAGCGTATTTTCTGCTCTATCCAAATACGATGTAAACTTTGCTCTAGATGGACTACTCCCACTTTTTTAAGGCCTTGAATGGAACATGCTCACCAAGCGAATCCTCACGATTTTCTTCTTCTACCTCGAATAAGGGCAGAAAGGAGTGGAATAAGTTCATGATATGAACTATTCGTTTGGTCATGCACTTGCGAAAAATAAGCCATGAAGCGATAGTTTGGAAAGCTTATGTAGGGACGGCGATATCCTCGAAGTTGGCGAGGGTGACCGTTGGATGTGGAATTTCGGTAAAAATCAACTGAAACATTTGATAGAACCAAATGTGCTTAAAACAGTTTAGAAGACCGCTACTGAATTGTATGTATTTGATTTATGGTTTCAAGCTTCTTGGGATGGCTTAAAAAGCACGGAAAAGTCAATAACTAGGGGTTGCAAAAAGTTGCGATTCCGTAGGCCCGTCTGTCCTACTTCTGCAATCTTTCATCCAAAGAAAACGATGGGTTTCTGTTCGTGTTGTGAGTTGCAATGTAGAATAGATTCTTCTCAATAACCTATAGTCTTCGGCTGAGAATAGGGTCAACAAAACTTTGCAAAATTTGAAATGCACGAACAAAAGGTTGTTCTGGCTTTTACGCGGTCTACAGCAGGCGCAACTCCCCGAGCACAGGCGGAACTATCATAGTAAGACAGTATCATTTGCAAGGTAGCAAAATACCCTCAGAACCTTGGCACATATGCCCAGCAAGGGCTGCCAGAAATGGCCCGATTGTTTGCCGAGATGCACCTCAACCGTCGACCGCAGAATCGACCCTGCAAAAAACGAACTAGCTGAGGTACTGAACTATGCCCTAAACACTCCACTCCCTAGTCCTCTTACCTCTATTCACCGCCACTTTTTCAAAGGTCTGTATAGCACCCTAAAGGAGAAATGCTACGAAATCTGACGTGATGATAAAACGACCTTCGCCTAGTTCATCGCCTCTAGAACTACAGTACTTCTAGTGAGCGGAATGATCAAACACAAGGAATATTCGCAAGAACAAGTAGATCCAGCAGGTTTTTATTGCGATCGAAAACGTTGCGTTTGAGTCGAGATATGCGCATTTGAACTTCAGGGTCCGAAACGGCCAGAACTTTCCTTACAAATCTAATATTTAACAGATGCAGCTACTAATTGATAGTTCAGCTATTTTTGCCAAATTGGATATGAATCACAGAATAGGAGCAAAGTTACCTTGCTAACCACAACAGCTTTCCGCTCACTAAGGTCATCACCTTCCACAAACAGAAACATCCGTTCCCCGGTAGGAACATCCGCCGTCGCTTTCGCATTCATCTTCAGCTTCATTATAAGAATCTTATCCATTTTCTTTCGATCTGCTTCACTGACAGGCTGTAAGAGACACAACATTAATAAATTAGTTATAAATCGGCATGGAATGCTCCATCGTCGCAGTACATGTTAAGGGTTAAAAATTGCGATACAATAGTATAGATTACTTTGGTCGAATTTGCCTTGACGGCTGTCTCTCGGCAGGCGCTGCTGGGGCTGCAGGTGGTATAACCGGTAGAATCCGAGGTTTGGGAGCCTTCTCGGGACGATTCTCACAAGCATGCTCATCAGCGTGGCGATGTCTAAAACCTCCAGTTATTTCCCGACCAAGCGTCTGCTCAGTATCACCATTAAGGAACCTACTTCAGGCAGTAGTTCCTTTCGCAGTACGGGCAGACAATTTTGATGCTTTCCGCACCAGGGCATTCGCTGTAAGAACATAGGAAGTTAC